AGCCAGGCTACTTTCTTTATATCCCCTTCACTTAGCTTGGGGTCTCATGCATTACAACCTGTGCCTTTCCTTGTACTTTCTGCCTCTTCATTTCTTGCCACCAATCCAAATCCTGTCTAATCTTTGAGGACCAAATTCTACCTCCTCTGTAAAGCCTTTCCTGATTAGCCCAGCCCATAGGAATCACTCTCTCCTTTGAATTCCTCTATCACAAACTTTATGGTCCTATTTATTTGGTCAATAACATATCCTGTATTGTGTTTTGTTAGGCAACTTTTCATGTATATGTCTTATCTCTCCAAATAAACACAAGAGCCTTGAGTTCAGAGATAATAATGTATAATGCCCCTTATGGGTCCAATGTCACACCCTTAATATGCTCTCAACAAATACTAGTTTATTTCTTCTGATCTTTTTCCTAATGGATTATTTACCATGGCAGCAGAAATTACCAGACTGAAAATAAAGCAGAAACCTCTTCTACCTTGAGCAGTTACTAACAAAAAAGTTTTACCCAAACAAAGGAGTAGGAAATTAGGCTCTATATAAAACACATAATACACTAGTGTTTGAAGTCAATATTTTTCTGGATAAGTGTCTAGCATTTGACAATTCAGAGATAAATTCTTCCAAGCCCTGGTTATCATTAATACCAGAAGATTCTACTAGCAAATTCAGGCATATTGTTATTTTTGTATTATAGAGATTTTTTTATTTTATAAAAGTATCCCTCCTGGGATATACTCTATTGTAATTATCAAACTAAAGAGTTGATTTTCAGTCTCATTAGCTGTAGCTAGAAAGCAATTTTGGTTAATTAAGGAAAGCTCAGTTCTTTTTCTGCTGGATTCTTTCAAAATGTTCTTGTCATAGTGCATTGATATAGATTAACTGGAACAGGCTGTGCATAATTATTGTGTATCCTAGGACTTCATCCTGACCTGGAGCTCCCTACTGTATTCCCAAACCAGGCTGATGGAAGAGCTGGGTAAGAGGGAGGAAAGGAAATGGCTCTACATTCTTCACTAGGAAGTAAAGGAACTAAGTCTAAAGGAGAGAGGTCATGTAGTTACAACTGAAAGATGTTAACCTTGGTACTTTTATCAAAGCCAAAACTGAGTTCAGTTCCTGTCAGATAGCCACAAAATAGATATTCTTGGCAATATTTTTTGAAGACTCCAATCTGTGGGTCTGGGCTGGGGAATATTGAAAAGCAGATTACTATGAGTTTCAGTTCATCCTAGATAACAGGAGGAAGTGGGAAGTTCTCTGTAAACTCTGAGACAACTTTTCTCTGGAAAGTTCTGACCCTCTCTATCAGGGTTAAGTCTAGACTCTTAAGAAGTTTCATGGCTACCATCCAGGGCTCAGGTGACTTGCTTCTCTTATAGCTTGGGCAAATTCATACTTCATGGAAGAGCGTGTAGAAAGATGCTGTCTGGCCAATCCTAATATACATATAGTTCAATTTGGGCTTCTCTGCAGGAGGACCTCAACAAGAGGGCTGCAGGTGACTTGAAGTTGCTTATTTGAGTCACTATGAAAACAAATCTCTCACACCTCTTTGGTAAGATCTTGCAGAGTAAATTTTCCTAACAAGTGGGCTATATTTCTATTTATCTTAAAATATTTTCCAATGAAAACCTCTCTGGAGCAAGATAATATCATTCATGATTCAAGCAGTGGCATTGATAAGAGTTACTCCCTTGCAGATTGAAAAACCATTGCTCTGCTGTTGGAGTCTTTGTCAATGTCTCTGCTAAATTCACTGTCTAGAGAATATCACTACCTGCTCTGAATTCCAGGGATGTTGTATCTTAAATAAATGTCCATGATCAAACAGTTCAGCAACTAATCTAAAAGGGGTGATGGTTGGAAAATAGCATAGGCTTTGTTACCTGCTGAAACAATAAAAGGACATAGAGCACTTAGAAAGGCACCAGAGCCATAAAGACAAAAAGAATATTGAGAAATAACCTGTATAAGAAAATATTAAGGGGTCCGGCCCCATGGCTTAGCGGTTAAGTGCGCACGCTCTGCTGCTGGCGGCCCGGGCTCACATCCCAGGCGTGCACCGACGCACCTCTTCTCCGGCCATGCTGAGGCCGCGTCCCACACACAGAAACTAGAAGGATGTGCAGCTATGACATACAACTATATACTGGGGCTTTGGGGGGAAAAATAAATAATAAAAAAAGAAAATATTAAGGAACTAGGATTATTCCCTCTGAGAAGGCTGAGGGGGTTCTTTATGGATTTTGCATACAGGCAGACTTTGACTTACAGCAATTTGCATTTAAGAATCACCCTGACAATCACACCCACCTTATTATTAATGACATATACGGCAGGCAGGGCCATAGATGCCACCCATTCAATCTGGAGGAAATGGATTCCAATTTTGAATAGAGTAGAAAGATTTATACTGTAATCTCTAATTTTTTTTATGCAAGCTACAGGAAAATTTGTAATGAGTAATAGAACGGATATCTCTGCATCATTTCCTCAAAAAGCTTAAATGTAGCCCTAAGTCTTTGAAAAGTCTTTTAAAAGATGCCCATTAAAATCTCCTCAGAAGAATATATTGATCTGTCACTTTTGATTTGCACATTTTTTCTATGCATTTATATATTAATTAAACACTTTGTAAAAATCTCATGAGAGAAGCCTATTTAAATCTCATAAAGTTGTTTCTTTACCAAGTACATTGCTGTACTAAAATAAGGAAGGGATTTCAAAGAAGATAAAGACTTTATACCCTGACTGTGAAATTACATTTTTACTTAACAGGTTACTGTTTTACCATATTTTATCAATTTATATACATTTTAGAATGTTTTGCATTATACAATGTATAAGTACATCATTTATCGTAAACTAAATATTATATTTTGGGCTAGGAATCAAACTTTGATATTATTCCTAAAAGAAATGAAGTTCAACACAAGTTATTTTAACTTACAGCACATTTATCAGCAATCTAAGTTGTCAAAAGTGCAAGGACTACTTGTATATGACCAGTTATGCACAGAAAATGGGGGCAACTGAGGATAACACAGAATCAACTGGACAAATAATGCAGTATGAAAACCTGTGTTAGAGAAAAGTACAGTTTTCTAATAGTTAAATTTGTTAGATACTGGAGTGGGTGATAAAGGAGGGTTGTGGAAACTCTTTCAATGGACTTTAAAAAACTCTCCTATATCTGGGATGGCATGGTGGTCTTGTTAAACCTAAAGGCAGCTTATAGTCTATGATTTTACAATGCATGTATGAAGCAGTTGAATACATCAGGTAATAAGATGGCATCCAACCACAGCACTGTATCTCATATGTATTTGTTCAAAGGACAGACATAACATTGTATTAGAAAGAATCCAGGACTTGGAATCAGGATACCTTACTTTAAGTTCAAGTTCTGCCTCTTTCTTGCTATGTGGTCTTGGATAAGTTACTTAAAATCTCCAAATCTCAGTTTCCTCAATTATGAAATGGGATGGTATTAATAAAATTGCCCACTTAACCTGACGATTGTAAGAGACAAAGGATATAAAAAAAGTATATGAAAGTACTTTGTAAACTATAAAATGGAATACACATTTTTTTATGGTTGAATATTTTTGAAAAAGTCTGGAACTGCAAACCATTTCAAGAAAATAACCTTTTTATAATGTAGTGCTACATCTATACTTAAAGTGTTTTGCTCGCCAACACAAGGCTCGGATATGAATAGTTTTTTCCATTGTGGAGATATTTCAAACCAGGTTAAGACCCTATAAGTCTCTGATTTCTATTAGAGTTTGGGTTTCTTAATACCAAAATAAAAGTTCTTATCACTTGTAATTGCTGTAATTAACTCTGTTCAGAAAGACTGAGAGCTGAAGGAAGGTAGGTCAAAATACAGTCAGTTTTTTAATCAAGTTAGCAGGAGGAGGTAAGGGAGTTGCTTGTGTTATAAGTTCTTTGGGCTGGGCAAGAACTCTTTCCGTTTTTAACTATGGATTTAGGTCTGTTTTGTTTTCTTTAGTCCTAGTAACATGGCTTACTCTAAAACTGGACTTCTAGGGAGAGAACCTGGGCTTAGCTGATCTAACTGGGTGAACATTTAGAAACAACTTGTTTCCCATCTCTGGGCCCCACTTCAATGCCTTTTCATGTCCTCATTCACCCCAGGTACCCTTTGTGATAATTAATACAAGTTCCCACTCAAAATTTCTGTCAGCTACTGAATTATTGGGGCCAGCCACTAAAAATTACTCTCTGATGCCTGGTATTAGCAACGTAGACAAATGTTGGAGGCACAGTAGTAACCAGAGCATCACATGGAGACAAAGAATAGGCGGTAAGGAGGGTACAGGACATGAGAACTTAACTTTCAGCTCTTCACAAAAAATCTCAAGATGACCTAATAATCTGGTGGGAAAAAGGTGGAAAGGCAAAGTTCTGTTTCCTTATTTTTTCTTTGCCCTTCCGCCTTTTAGAAAAGTAGACTACATGCACGTGTAGTCTTGCCCCCATGTACTACCTTTTATTTTTTGTGTGTATTTAAACCATCCTAAAAGAGAATGGGAATGAGATTTTAAAGAAAATTTAACCGATGTGAATGAATCAGGGTAGAGAAATGTGATCTGTTGCCCATTGATTGAATTAACTCGAGCAAAGCCTATGAGTGACCAACTGGCAGGATTGTTTACAAACATTCATTAGCACTGTTTATTATGTTTCCTGATTCATCTGATTGGTTATAAATCATGGTATCACAAAGGTGGTAAGGAACATCCAAAGCTGCCATCTAATCCTACCTACGCCACCCATATTTGCTAGACAAATCTAGCCATACTTGTCCTTCTCCATCCAAAGGTCACTTAAGAGGTTAACATGCTTATATAATCTTTCTGGACACTATTTTCTCACTACATTACGTTGGTTGTGTTAACATGTTCTTTATTAGTGCTTGGTCTGCTGGGTGGAGAAAAAGACTTCCTTCTGAGCCTACTTACCTCGGTTGTCATCCTCATTGTCTTCCCAGGGTTCTTCATTTGCTAGCAATGGGTTCTGTGACTCATTCATAGACCTCATAGGGAAGGAGTGTCCATCACCAGGGCTGGTGGGGAAAGGAAAGCAGTGAGCTCTTCCAGCTGACATATACTTTTTATGAAGGTAATAATCCTATTGGAAATATGAGGGGGGTTCTTAGGAAGATTTAAACCATTTAGCTTATTGGCTAAAGCCATGGTGGGATAGGCTCTTATAATAGTGTCATTTAGTTGTTGTACTGCTCTCAATTTCTTTATCTTGTTTGTCTGCATCAGTGTTGACTGTTTTCGTTTGTAAGCAAGTCTTTAACTTGCTTCCCACAATGCCCAGTGTGGTAATATACACACATAGCAAGCTTCATAAATATTTAATGATGATGATCCCAATTTATATCCCATTATTTTAATGCTTTGGTTCTAAATTTTCAAGAACAATTAGCAGATTTGGAATCATTGAATACACTGGAGATAAGTTGCTGTGAACTGGTGATAGATAATAATGTCTGAATGCCTCATTATTTGGCTTGTATGGCAGAAAGGTTATTAGGAGCTGGGGGAAATAGCCATAGTGAGGCATCTCTAAGAGTTCAGATTCTGGGGGAAATTATTCGTATGTGGGATCCACTTTGTGGATATCTATGGTCACTTAGGGCCACCACGTTGGTTAATCTCCAGCCACTAACAGATTCGATGCATTGGAGGAAAGTGATCTGGCCCTGGCTAGAGGGGGTTACAGTTTGAATATTTGAGCCTATATATCTGAATGCTTTCCAAATTTATATCTGTGTGATTTTTGGATTATTCATTTGATATTACCTATGCTTTTTCTCCTGTTCACAAATGTGGTTAATTGAAAATTGACAGATTTTATTGATAGTTCTCTACAGAAGATGTAAGTATACTGATTATAAGTGAATGGGCTTTGATTTTGGTTTTTGTTCTTTATTCCAGAGAAGACTCATTTTAGACCTCCCTTTGAAGTAGTGATAGTGTGTGTGTATGTGTGTGAGTGGGGTGCAAATAATTGCTGGTAACAGTTATTAATCAACAATACCCACGGACACAGTTTTGTCTTGTGATTTATAGCCAAGATAGTAGGATAAACCACAGCTCTTAAATAAATGAGCCTGTAAAACACTAACTGGTACAGAGGAAGTATCAGGGCAATGAGTGAAGGGGAGGAGAAAATTTTTCTTTTTCTTTTTTTTGCTGAGGAAGATTCGCTCTGAGCTAACATCCATCACCAATCCTCCTCTTTTTGTTTGAGGAAGATTCCTCCTGGGCTAACATCTGCGGCAAATCTTCCTATTTGTATGTGGGCTGCCACCACAGCATGGCCACCGACCAGTGGTGTAGGTCCGCGCCCGGGAACTGAACCAAGGCCGCCGAAGCAGAGCGTGCCAAACTTAACCACTAGGCAACTGGGGCTGGCCTAGAAAATTTTTCTTAATTAACACCCTACTCCAAAAAACTGTCCTCAACTAAGTGAACAAATGGATGTATCCCTTTCTGAGGAACAGATCTAAAGGGGGCTGCAAGAAGGCTATAAATAAGCTTTGCTCCAGAGCTAGTTTAGTTGATGGTAGATAGATCTGGTTCACAAAGTCACTCAGAAGATACAAGCTCATCTCTTCTTCACTGCTTTCCCTTCATTCCTATTGCAGTTCTAAGAATTACCTACAATTTCTAAATCAATCTTCGTTCTTGCTTTTGGTTTTAATTTTTTTCTTCATAAAAGTAATATAAGCACTTGACCCCCAAATATGAAAAATGGAGACAAGAAAAATAATTTCTAAGACTATTGCCCTTACCACTTACAGCATTTTTTGGCTGTATCTCCCCTGTGTTGTTTTTCTTCTGTATATATTTGTGCATAGTTTTAATCACAGTGTATATACCATTTTGAATTCTATATATTTCATTTAAAATATAGTAAGCATTTCCCCTTATTGTGACATAGTCTTTATAAGCATTACATTTGACTACATAATATTGCATCCAGTGAGGATATATATATATATATATATATATATATATATATATATATATATAATATACATATATATATTCGTATATTGTTGGATGTTTAAGTTGTTTTCTAATTATTGGCTAGAAATAATGCTGTGATGAACACTTTTGTGCCTAGTTTGTCTCTGTCTTTAGGATAGATTCCCAGAAATGGAATTACTGAGACAATGGACACATAGATTCTTATAGTTTTTTGATACATATTACCAAATTCATTTATAAAAGAGTGGTACCAGTTTATACTGCCACAACAAAGCATGAGAATGTTTATTTTATCATACCCTCACCTCCTGATTTGTCTTTACTAACGTAGAAATGAAAAACTTGGGGAATAGAGTTTTACATTGAACTGATACTTGCTGCATACTACAGTCAAAATTGAATTTGCTACTTCAATGCATGCTTCAGCATCATCTTCTTTCATTAGTAATAATTACTTACCTCGACCCAACAGGTATTAACCAGAACTTCTTGTTATCTCCAAACACCTGCTGGATATTTTTGATGAAGCCAAGGTTGAACCCGTTTTTCTCTGGGCCACTTGTAAACACTGGAGTACAGAAGGCCTCTAGGGCAGGGTAGGGGAGTTAAAGAAAAGAGGAAGAAAGCAATAAAGGAACCAATTTCAGGACCATCATGATTTTACAGTTCTCCATGAATGTGAATTGGTTCTATAATATCTTTTTGCTGTGGGAGCATAGCTCCTCGTTTTTAATTATTGCTAAATTACTTAGTAAAAACCAGTTTAATCACTTAATACAAAGTAAGTTTGTTGTTAAATACAAAGAATTGATACTCTCTTTTTTAAAAAACGGCAGAAGAAACACATGATGTAGAAATAATTAAGCAGCCACAGGGGTAGTATGTATTTTGTACTGCTGCTTGTAAGGAATGAAAGAACAAATTTAATGGTACTTCATTTGAATCAAAGTGGCAACAACAGCCAAATGGTCTCCATCTTTAGAACTGGAACAAAAGTAATGACACATAAAGAGATGACAATGATATTCTTTGGTTTTGAAACATTTCAGAAATGACACTGTTCACATTGAAGCCTGCAATGTAAGAAACTGAGTTTTACTCTAGAAAAAATGTCCATGGGTGAACTATAATTACCTCAAAGACCATGAGGAATTGGACCATGTTAGTGCACATTAGTTTTGGACACATATCTCATTAAGCAAACACTTTCACTACTGGACTCTGGCTGCATCTGGCCATTTCCCATTTATTCTTTGTTTTCAGACTCTGTTATCATGAAGCTTTTAGTACTTTTCTACTTTGCAGTTGACCTCTAAGCCAAATGTGCTAATCTACCAACCTAGAATCTAAATGCTACATATATATTTGGTTTAGAAAATGAGTGCAAATACTTTCCTAGCTGTTAGCAATATTAGCAAATGAGTTCCAAAAGCATAATGGCTTTTGCACTAAAATTTCCTCAAATCTATCTTAGCTAAACATTCAACACTTAGGCACTTTCTCCTCACTCCTCATGCACTGATTTGTATACAATGAAAATATGTGTTTCCCCATAGATGAAAAAAATTGTTGCACTGGAATTCATAAAAAATATACTTCTCCAAATAACAGCCTAGAGTAGAGAGTAATGGACAGGAAAAAAAAGTTCATTTCTTGTACTCATTTTCTAGAGACTCTCTTGTTCAATGTGTTTATCTAATTCCCAGTCTCTACACAGCTCCTTGATGACTGTAGATATTTAAATGATTTGTTGGTTTGGATTCTTTCTCAGGAACTTGTTTTTGGATGCACTTAATAAATTAGATTCTTCTATTTTTATTGACCTTCATCTCCCCCTTCTGCTGTTCCCTTCTGTACTGATTCTTTCCTTCACTTCCTCATGTGAACAACTTTTAGAAATTTTTTGAGCTGTAAATCTGGGGTGCTATTACCCATTATGAACTATAAAGAACAATGGTCATTTTTGGTTTGGTGTGAGGTTTCACTCACTAACGCTCTCTTGCCTGTAAGCTTTAGTTACTATGGCTCTCTAGTTTGTAAAATGTGTTTACGTCTGTCTCAGTTTGGAGGCAAGAGATGTCACTGCAGCTAAAATGCTTCACTGGAAGTTTTTCTCTTCCTTAGGAACAATCCACAGGTCACTGTGATATACATTAATATGTTTTTTCCTAGTCTTAATATCCAGTCTTACCTAAGGTGGTTTTGTTTCTGCTGACAAGCCAACAATGGTAACCAAAGAGAATCACAAGGCTGACAAAAAACATGCAGGCCACAAAGAGGAGAAAAAGGACATGGAACTTAGAGCGAACACTGGGCAATTCCCCCTAGAAAAGAAATAATAAACAAACAGAAACAAAGGATTAAAGTGGTAAGGCTTGGCTAGTTTTTCTATATAGGTTAGTACTTTTTTCATATGTATAAAATGTCTAGCTGTAATTTAAAAAGTAGATTTTGTAAAATTTTTACAAAACAGTTCTTTCTGTTGATGACCATTCCTCATTATGGATATGCTTTCACCTTACAAAGCCTAAAATGGATCCTTGCTTAAGTGCAGTTCAGTGTAAAATAGAGTATATAATGTACCAGTTATAAAAGGGTAATGTGAAAAGGATATACTCAGGCCATAATTGGTATGCAATCTCTTAGAGCTTGTACTCCATTTAGTCTGCAAATTATGAATCATTGACTTGAGGTGATCTTGAGGTCATATGGTTCATCCTCTTGTCTCAAGGTGGTTTATTCTGAAATACTTTATATGTCATGTTTCCTTGGACGTATATGTGTTGAAAATGTCATGGTGATATATGTAGGAAGTTAAAACACAGAATTTTAAAACGTTCTACCTATAAGTCATGACCTGATTTTAAAGCTACTCTAAATTTTGTGTAGTTGTTTTTTATAGCTGAAGTAGAATGTGCTGGTATAGTGCATCCTGTGAAACAGCTGTTTAGATAGTAAAATCAGGCAGGATTTGACAGGCAATTGTAAAAGGAGGCAGGTAAAGATTTTTATAGTTAGCTAGGATATCTTATTTTCCATGTGATGCCAGATTTTTTTTTCACATGTGGCCCTATATCAGAATGAATTTTCTAAAGTTCTATAGCATGCACAGCATGTAACATTTTGTCTTCTGAAGAGAACCTTAGAAACATTTTCAATTTTAGAGTCAGCAGTTGTGATAATGACTTTTCTTTATTTCCTCCCATCTTGTGCTGATCATTATTTTGGGGTGCTGAATTGCTTTGAAATATTTCCAAATCCTCTTGAGTAATAAAGTTAAAGGTGATTATTGATTGAAGTGGACCTTAACATTAGGATCTGGTTCTACTCCACTTTGGAAGGAGAAAGTGAAGGCTTGGAAACACTTGGCAAATTCAGATAGCACAGATTGTTTTCTTCTCTTAGAGGTTTTTATTCATTTTGATGTAAGGAAATATTACGAATCTTCCAGAGTGTATATGTTTGTAGGATGAAGATAAGGGGAAATAAGCCAGTCAGATGCTTTCAGCTGAAGGACAGCTTGGGTGAAATTTGCATGGGGGCAGGGCACCCAGGAAATAGCTACCCCAAGGACTTCAACCTTCAGGAACTTTTATCTGAAGCTCCCTTTTAAAATGATCCCTCTATAAAATCTTGGCTTAAGCACTCAAACTGAATTTGACTGGCTTTTGTTTATTTTGTTTTGAATTTATAGGAAACTCCATGTATCGCTTTGCAGTGGTTTTTGCCTGGCTGGGTTTTTGCTTTCATAATCTCCCCTTTTGGAGTATGTTTTTTACAGATTTTAAAACTTACATTTATTTTGCTTCTTTATCTGTCATGTTTAAATGGGCAATAGGAAATGGCTAGGCAAGAGGGACTGACATAACGTCAGTTCACACTCTGGTTAGCTGAGCTGCAATTACTCTTATAGAACTCTCTTCTGTCTGCCAAAGCATATCTACTGTGTTGTTCCTTGATAAAGTCCTTAATATTTAACTTTTTTTGTTAGAAGAGGATGATGGCTCTATGTTCAAAATTACCTTCTCAGGAGATAACCAAACTAAATTATTCAAAGCAATAACCACCAGAAACAGTTCAGGGAAATACTGGTAGAACTATTATCTTGGTTCTAAAATAATACATAGCCTCTGTGATGAGATTCCTGGTCCAGTGTGGGAGGTGTATATTACTACTTTTTTCATAAGGCAAAGATCAATTTCCTATCAAAGTAGCTACTCTTTAAGTTAATATTGAGAGGAGAGACATGATCTGATGGTCTTCTGAATTCCTTATTCCAAAGGAGCTACAGCTTCTCCACAGCAGGACCGTAACGAGTGGTAGGATATGGTACAGTGTTTAAGATCACTGGACTTAGGATCAGATAGGTTCAAGTCATGACTCTGAAACTTATAAGCTAAGTGATCCTGAGCAAGTCACTTAACTGCTATGAGCCTCAGTTTTATCATCTTTAAATGAGACTATTAATTCCTGCTTTGCCTATTTCACAAGGTTATAGTAAGGATAGATGACATAATAGATAGGAAAGTGCTTTAAAAATGGTAAAGTACTATACAAATGGAGGTTGCTGTTCTTAGGAGCACAGCTAGTCTCTTTGATACATGGCTTTTAAAATACATGGTAGTGTTTACTTTTCATTTTAAGGGGAGACTCAATTTAAACTGAGAAAGCCATCTCTAAACCACACCAAAGTGCTCTCTGGCTGGAGAGACTGCAAAGTATTTCTATGAACTGTCAATTCCCTTTTCATTAGAGTGTAAGCCAAGACAGGTTTCCTCGTCTCTCATCTGTCAGGCATGAGCTAGTCTATTGTGGAGAAAAAATGAGGGAATAGGAAAAGAACAAGGCTATGTTCACACCTGATATTGCTTGTGAATACTATCATATTTCTGGTGATTAATTCATATCCAAATATTATCTTTCAAGAGTAAAAAAAGCATACAGCACCTGACTGGCATTGCGGTATTTGATTATTGCCTGACTAGGAGGGCCAAAGGCAAAGTGTGTGAAATGCAACGTTGTTTACTCTGTTATGAGAGTCAAGGGTGGTTCTTAAGCAGTAGTCTACTGTGTTAAGGACCAAGTAAGGTCTGTAGTGGAGACCAAGGCTGACACCTTTCTCTGCTGAATTGTATGCAGTAGATTTTCTTTATGTTCAGGGTAGTAGCTCAGTGTGTGAATGGAATGCCAAACAGGTCATGGAAACCCGAGCAATAGATAAGAGATCCTGTGCAGTGGAAAGGAGCCAAAGAAAAGACACTAAGATGGTAAAGCATTTTGTATTTGGGAAAAATTTATGAGAAAACTTCATTTCTGCTTATACTTTTGTGTCTTTGAGTTAAAGATTTTGATATCCATTATATAATTTCTGATTCTTAAAGTTATTAAATATCTGAATTGATTAAGCAAGTTGAAGGGAGAATGGAAAGCATATATCATTATAAATTTCCATACTATATTTTCTACACTAGTAGGGATCAAAGTACTAATTAATAATTCAAATATTCTCGGCTATTTAGGTTCTCACTGCTTTGTCTCTCTCCTTCTTTCACCAGTTTATTATAATCTATATTCTGGTCACAGGATTCACTTTCTTTCCTTGCTGCTTTACTTCTCCATCTGAGGTGACATATTCCTGTTATACAGGCTCTTGTACAATTCCTAAAGTAATTACTAGTAGCTCTGCCCACATCTGTCTTTTGCTATTCAGGTTCAGTTTGGACAATGCTCATCATGGAAGGTTATGATGTCTTAGAAATTGTATTGAAGTTGTGAGGAAGGGACGTCTTCTGGAGTCCATTGGCATAAAATAAAAAAAAAAAATTCACTATACTCTGCAAGACCATGTACACATAAGCAAACTGAAAATCTGCCTTCGATTCTTTTGGGAATAGATGGGATACGATTGATGTCTTCAAGTAGAAGAAAGATGAAAGTAGGATTTTTTTCTTAGATTTTATTATAATTATTTGAATCATGTTTTGAAAGGTAAAGTACTTTCAACATCTATTTCATTTGATCTTAGCAATGAGTCGGTGAAGGACGTAACAGAGCCAGTATTAGAAGTCAGTTCTCCTAATTCCCAACCCAGTGTTTGTCATACAAAGTCCAAATACAATTCCCCATTTCATTTTGGTCACATGTGAAGAAGTCACATGAGTCAAGGACTCTTTCTGTTCAGCAGGAATTTTGCAACTCTCCTTTGAACAAGGAATTAGAAAGTATTTTTCTAACAATGAGGGAGTACTTTATTAGCCTTTTTCTTAGGAAACTAGGGATTTAGAATTAGTTTCAACATTTTTCAAATCTATAATTGGTAAGAATTGGATTTTTAAAACTTGACTAGAAAAGTACATTGTAAAGAATCAGAAAGAGTCAAGAGGTTATGTTCCTGAAGGTCTTAACAAGATTCTCATATATGATAGAAATTTGTTTAACTGGAATCTTTAAATAATAATCTTCTAAGTCTAAGAATATTTAACACAGGTAACTTGTTTTTGGTGCCTTCCTTTCTGGTTACTTCAGCATTAGCTATTTCAAAATGTAAAAAAAAAAAAAGGTAAAGTAAACAATGTCACAGACAGGAGTAGGTGTGTGCTTGTTCCAGGGGGAACCTTCAGGATTTTTTAACTTACTCTCCAGTATTTGATGAAATAGCTGAAGACTGTTGTAGCAATGTACAGGCAGTAGAGAACAGAATAAGCTAAGAACTGAAGGAAAAATTTGTAGTTGGAAAATCCAATGCAGTTGTTAACCCTAAAAAAAAAAAAAGAAAAAATAATTTGAAATCAGGACCAATGGATTGAGAACATATTGATACATAAGTGAACTAAGCAATGGAAATATGTTACTCCTGCTGCTTCATTATGTGCTGTGTAGAAACTCAACAGAAATAGAAGTCCCTTAATAGGAACAGACTGGAAAAACAAGTTCATGTCTCACTTATTTCTTCTTTCATTTACAGGCACAGAGACACGTGGCCTACCTAATAGTTCTGGACTGGTTCCTGACACTCCCAAGCAAAACTGGATCTTGGATGCTGAAAACCTATTACAATCTTAGTGGCTACACTTAGTAGAGTGTGGCATGTTCTCTTTGTAGTTAGATGATTTCACACTGGTTCTCTAGGTCAGACATACAAAATTTGGGGAAGACTTGCTGAAGTTAACAATCTAGAGTATTTCAAACATCCATACAGCTAAGAACAGAACTGAATTGTGTAATGTCAAAGAGGAGAACTATTTGTGCTCTATTTCATTACTATGCCCAATTACTAAAGCTAATGGACAAGAGACTATTAGCTTTGTGAGTCCGGGAATTCACTACCATACCTTTGGTGGTATATTTATTCTTGCTTTAAAATGTTATGCCTCCTCTGTTTCCCACACAAATACAAAGCCCAGTGAATTATGGTAGCAGAAACATGCATGTTACAACTATGCTTAGGAAAGCAGGCATATTGAACAACTTTGACCGTTTTAGAGGAGAGAAATGAATCAAAGGGACATACCAAGGGCAATGATGGTCCATTTTTAATACACACCTACAAAAGGGAGAAAATACAGTGTGATAAGTGGAGCTATGGAAATGAAGCAACATCTCATAATTGAACTAAAGGTCTCACCAGTATTTTTACATGGTACCAGTACACTCATTCTTAGATTTCCACTATAGCTACTCCAAAACTATTGTGTCCTCAGTTATTCCTAGGATGAGCCAATCACAGGACTTTATAGGATCATGCTGGCAGCAAGTTACATGCCTAGAAGCCCAACCTTTAAAAGGGATTGGGAACTCTAGGATATTGATACAGAGAAAAAGTCCAAGATATCTACTCTCATTTTGCTCAATACTCAGGTTAATAAAAATAAAGAAGAAAACATATGGCTACAGCCTGTGTTTGAATCAAGGGTAAGAGAAATAAGGGTGGAACAAGCACCCAAGAAGAAAGACATAAAGATTATATTTATTAACACAAAAATGGGGTTTTACAAAGCTGGAGCAATTTGAGTAACAAAATAAAGTACTACTGAGTTACAACCCAAAACATAAAATGATTATCCACGCCTACCTACTGATTTGAATAAATAAATAAATGAGGGAGAAGAGACAAATCTCCCACGCAGAAGAATTCCAAATAATTTATGTAGATACTCTGCCTTCAAGGAGGGGGAGCGTTAAGTTCTCATTCCCTTAGCATGGGCTGCACATAGTGACTTCCTTCCAAAGAGTACAGTATGGAAGTGGGGACAGGGTAACTTTATAATGGAGAAATATGACAAACACTACCTCACCCAGATGATCAAGATAAACATTGCAGTGATAAGTCATGTTTATATTATATACTCTTGATATGATATAATGAGAATGGCGCTTTACCTCTATGGTCTTTCTCCCCAAAACACGTTATCCATGTCTAATCATGAGGAAAATATCAGGCAAATCCCAACTGAGGGATAGCCGACAAAATACTTGACCGTTAATCTTAAAAACTGTCAAGGTTGTCAAAAACAAGTAAAGTATGAGAAACTGTCACAGCTAAGAGGAGCCTAAGAAGACATGACAACTAAACGTAATGTAGTATCCTGGATGGGATCCTGGAACATGAAAAGAACATTAGGGAAAAACTGAGGAAATCTAAATAGAGTATGGACTTCAGTTAAAAATAATATACAGGCATACTTCAGAGATATTGCGGGTTTGGTTACAGACCATTGCAATAAAGTGAATATTGCAACAAAGTCACATGAATTTTTTTGTTTCCCAGTGATATAAAAATTATCTTTACACTATACTGTAGTCTATTAAGTGTGCAATAGCATTATGTCTAAAAAAACAATGTACATACCTTAATTAAAAAATACTTTATTGCTAAAAAATGCTAACCATCATCTGAGCCTTCAGGGAGTCATAATCTTTTTGCTAGTGGAGAGTCATATAAAAACGCAATATCTGCTAAGCACAATAAAGCACAGCGCAATAAAACAAGGTATGCCTGTATCAATACTGGTTTATTAATTGTAACAAATGTACCACATTAATGTAAGATGTTAATAATAGGGGGAATTGGGAGTGGGACATATGAGAACTATCTTCACAATAATTCTTTAAATCTAAAACTGTTCTAAAATAAAATGTTTTTTTTTTTTTTTGGTGAGGAAGATTGGCCCTGAGCTAATATCTGTTGCCAATCCTCCTCTTTGTGCTTGAGGAAGATTGTCCCTGAGCTAAGGTCTGTGCCAATCTTCCTCCACTTTGTAGGCAGGATGCTGCCACAGCATAGCTTGATGAGCGATATGTAGGTCTGCACCTGGGATCTGAACCTGCGAACCCCAGGCTGCTGAAGCAGAGGATGAACTTAACTACTACACCACCGGGCCAGCCCCTAAAATGTTTATTTTTAGAATGGGGATTTATTTATCTTTCCTATATTTAGAATAGTTTGAATCATCATCATCCCTGTGAGGGTGTTTGGCATGTGCTCATTATGATCAAAAGGAAATGTTCTTATCTAGGCATGGTTACATGCCTAGGATCAGTCACTTTGTCATCTAGGATCAGTCACTTTGTCGTCTAGGCTCAGCCCAGGGGAAATATGGCTGTCACTTACATGGCACAGACAGAGCAGTGGTGGCAGCGATCTGGCTTGATCAAATGGCACCGGTCACAGAATCTTACAGCTAAAGGAAAAATAAGGTGGTTAGCACTACTTAGGGCTCAATATGACACCATATATCTTACTAGCCTATCAGGATGGCTTGTTATACACTGACTACAGGTAGTCAAACTCATCTAATTTCAAGTTAGCAAGCAAAAGGTAGATCAAATAAGAGAATTATGCTATGTATTTTTTCCCTGTTGGATCAATCTTTTTTATTTATTTATTTATTATTTATTTATTTATTTTTCCCCCAAAGCCCCAGTAGATAGTTGTATGTCACAGCTGCACATCCTTCTTAGTTGCTGTATGTGGGACGCGGCCTCAGCATGGCCGGAGAAGTGGTGCCTCGGTGCGCGCCCGGGATCGGAACCCGGGCCGCCAGTAGCGGAGAGCGCGCACTTAACCACTAAACCACAGGGCCGGCCCCTTGTTGGATCAATCTTGAAAGCACACTTTGGGGGATGAAGGTAAGGGGAAAATTTTTCATATCTGGGTATCTAATCATAAAATTTTGTATTATAAAACAAACTATATTGTTAACTGCTCAGCGATCTTGGAAAAATCATTTAGCTTCTGTTTACTCCAACTTTCCTATCTAAAAACAAGGATTCACAATTTATCTGTTGTCTCCAGAGGTTAGATTGTATGAGGTAGAAAAAACTCCTAAAGCATGGTAAAGAGAGTGGTTCTTAGAATAACAATTTGGAGAATAGAAGAGACATTCTAGAACAATTAGTTCAATTGACCATTTCACAGAGAAAGGAAGTAAAAATCTGAGCCATAAAGGTCACACAGCAAGTGAGTGGCAGGGCTATGGCCAGTACAGCTTTTCTGACCCCTTAGTTCAGGGTTCTCTTCATTCTGTAAGTCTGATACAACAAGTCATTTCTCTCTCCCTCCCTCCTTCCTTCCTTTCTTTACTTCTCTTAGATGAAAGGCATTCTCCTTTCCTTCTCATTTTCTCTATGTTCATTGATAGAGTATGACTGTGTTTAATATGATTATTATTAAGTATAACAACTAAAATTATGAATAATTTGAGATAATATAATAATTTCATCTAAAGTGTACATTAAGCACACATAACTGATTCAACATAAGGGACTGCTAATTAAGCAGAGTTTGTGTTCATTTCCAGCAATGGTGTGGGGGTGACCAAAGTATGGGTATAACTGAGGCAAGGAGGAAGGGAGAGGGCCATGCATGTTTGGGTCCTTCAGCATGTTTTTAAAGATATGGTCAATGCCACTGCCCAGTTTAAGCCACCATCATCTCTCACTTAGACAACGGCAATAACTGCCTAATTATTCACTCTGCTTTCATTCTTGCCCCCCACATTCTCTACAGAATACCTGGGTGATCTATTAAAACGTGAATCAGATCATACCACTGTCCACTTAAAACGTTCAATAGATTTCCAACACCCTTAGAATAAAAGACAAACTCCTTACCATGGCCTGCATCATCTGGCCTCTGCCTGCCTCTTCAACCTTAACTTGTACCACTGTCCATCTACTATACTCCAGTCACAACGTCTGTCTACTCTTCTAATACTGCAAGCTTGCTCCTGTCTCAGGGCCTTTTGTACTTGCAGCTCCTTCTGCCAGGAACTCTAGTCCCTCTTCTCTTTGCATAGCTAGTTACTTCTTATTATTCAGGTCTCAGATCAAATGACATTTCCTCAGAGAAGCCTTCTCTATTACTCTATATCATGGGGGCTGCAAACAAACGTTCAAGGGTCTAGGGAATAGTGAATAGTGAATAGTGAGTGCAGTAGCCATTTGGAGACTGTGGGAGAACCTGAGAATTCATGCCATGTTTAAAAAGAGCAGTTACTACTCAGCTCTAGCTAATTTTTGCCATGTGAAAATGCAGATCAAATGATGCCAGAGTATCTGAGTTTTGAAGAGAAGCCACAAATCTGGATTTTCATGTGGAAATATTCTAATTGTTAAAAATTAGTAACAAATGCAAAGTTTTAAAAGACGTGTTAGAGATCAAACAAAATATATCTCTAGGCTAAATTCATCCAGTATGCCTCTAGTTTGTAACCTCTGCTCTATCACATCATTCTGTTTATTACTGTTTGAAATTCTATAGGTAATTTCCTGTCAGTCTCCTTTTCACCATATTTCAGTATGCATAAAGACTTTTAAAAAATCATAACCACCATGACTAATGCTCTAATAAAATTAACAATAAGTCCTTAGTATCATCTAATATCCAGACCATATTAAAATTTCCCCAATTGTCATATGGGATCTTACTAAATATTTGTTGAATAAATAATGATAAACAGACGAACATAGATGACTAACAGTATACTTCCCAAAGCTTTGAAATGTGATCTTTCTTTTAGAAACATTAGGATGACTTGTCAAAAGAGCTTTGGTTTTCAAATTTTAAAAGGCGGAGAATTGGGTCAGCTAGTACCGTTCTAGTCATGCAGATGGAAACTAAAAGTAAAACTCCATAGTGGGTATCTACCTAAGATAAATGAAGACATATCTCTGCACAAATACTCATATAAGAATGTTCATAGCAGATTTACTCATAATAGCTAAGCACCGGAAACAACCCAAACATGCCCAAACTGGTGAATGGATAAACAATCTATGATATATTCATGCCATGAATTACTACTCAGAAATAAAATGACTGAAATACACAATATGAATGAGTCTCAAAAACATTATGCTGAATAAAAGAAGCCAGCCACAACAGTACGTACTGTATGATTCCATTTATATAAAATTCTAGAGCAGGTAAAACTAATCTATGGCGGAAAACTATCAGAATAGTGGTTGTCTTTGGTGGTGGTGGTGGAGTCGACTGGGAAGGAGCATGAGAGAACTTTCTAGGTTATGGTAATATTTATAAAGGTTTTGGTTACACAGGTGTGTACATTTCTTGAAACACTGAATGGTATACTTATGATTTATGCATATTTTAATGTAAATTTCACCCCAAAAAGAATGATAAAATATTTAGGTGGATATGTGCTGATATCTGCTACTTTGAAATGCATCAAAAAATAAGATGGCTTGGTGGATGCTAGATAGAGGGATGGATTTGTGGACAGATATGTGATAAAACAATATAGTGAAATGTTAGTGGTAGACTCCAGTGGTGGATATACGGATGTTTATTATATAATTCTTCCATCTTGGAAATTGTTGTTTGAAATTTTTTATAATAAAATATTGAAAAAAAATTCCCTAGTGTTTTTCAGAAGAGAGGAGAAAAAAGGGGGCTAGCCTGAAGATATATATGACTTAGTTCTGAGATCCTTGCTGATCTGCCTCTCTTGCTGACTTTGGATGAACTGACCTCCACTTCCAGTTCTTGTGTAAACTGGTAGCTTTTTGGCCATATCAACGAGCATCTGCTTCTGGACCTCAGGTCTCTCTTCGTTTTCATAGCGCTCCTTGTCTGTATAGGACAAGTGGAACTGGAAGCAGAAGTGAGAGGCAAGACTTTATTTTCCAAGGTTCACAGAAAAGATTAAAAACAACAACAGTAACTATTTAGATGAAAATATTTGTTACCTACCCTTGAAGCCCAGGTAACAATTTGGTTTATAACTTTCTCTGGATAATTATCTTAATTATCTTATCTGGCTTTTATCTCAATTTTCATAATTCTATACGATACATAGCATAGTTTTATAAATAAAGAAAATAAAACTGAGGGAGATTAAGTATATTGTCCATGATTATACTCACTGAAATAGTAAGCAGCAAAACTAAGCCCCAAACCCAGTTCACCTGACTCTAAGACTTGTGTCCTTTCCACTCCATTACACTCTAATATGACATTGCATACAGATGTGTGACACCTTGCTGCCAGGACTCTATTGATGATTAACTTTGCTTGTTATTAAGTTGTATTTTTCATAGGTGACACTTGGGGAAGCTGGATGAGACTGCTAACAGCATTGTCTGTATATTCCAATCTTGCAAATGAGTAGAAATGTGGATATTCTCACTATTTCTCATATTTTCAGTCTGGTATAGAGCTTGCTGCCATGTTTGTACCACACTTTGCTAATCTTGCAAAAGATATGCCAATGATTTTCCAAAGTAATACAGTAATACAAAATAATACCTACTTCACAAGATTGGTGTAAAAGTGCTGGATAACAACAAGTAATTAAAAGTCTCTTTTACAAGTCCAATTTCTTAAATCATTTAAAAATATTTGATATTGCCAATATTTTAAATTTTAACTATTCTAGTTAGTGTGTAACGGTATCTTATTGTGATTTTAATTTGCACTCCCCTGATTACTAATGACATTGAGCACCTTTTCATGAGTTTATTGGCCATTTGGGTATCTTCTTGTGAAATGCCTATTCAAACCTTTTGTCCGCTAAAAAGGAATTGGGTTGTTTGTCCTTTTTTGTATTGATTTGCAGGAATTCATTATATATTTTGCATAGTAGTCCTTTGTTGAATATTTTCTACCAGTCTGTGGCTTTCCTTTTTACTTCCTTTATGGTGCATTTTGATGAACAGAAGATCTTGGTGCGAATGTAGATTTATGCAAGCACTTTGGAAAATTGTTTGGAATTACCTACTTAAGTTAAATATATGCCTGCCCTATGACTCAGCAATTCCATTCCTAGTTATATACCCAAGAGAAATGAGTATGTGTGTATATGTATGTGTGTGTGTATGTCAAAAGATATGTACAAGATTGCTTATAGCAGCTTTATTCATAATAGAAAAAAATGATAACAACCCAAGTGTCCTTCAACTGGTGAATGAATAAACCAACTGTGATAAAAGGGAATAACTATAGTAGTAAAACAGAATGGACAACTGAAACATGCATCAACATGAATGAATTTTGAAAACATTATAATGAGTGAAGGGCTTACACAAAACAGTGCATACTATGATTCTTTTCTTGTGAGGTTCAAAAATAAGCAAAACTAATCTATGGTGATATAAGTCAGATTAGTGGTTACCTCTGAGAGGAGGTTGTTTGGGAATGGGCATAAAGAAGAGTCTTAAAGTGTTAGAAATGTTCAAAATCTTAGCCTGCATAGTGGTTATATGGGTGTATATATATAGGTAAAAATTCATCAAATTGTACTCTTTACAAGTTAATTCTCGGAGTAGAGTATGTATATTATACATCAGTAAAATAGTAAAACAAATAAATTAATAAAATACTTTAGATATTTTAAATGTATCTAACTTTAAAAATTGGAAATGTATAAATTCAAACACTGTATTTTAAGAACCATACCTAGTGGTACGTTTTATGGTATGTCATTCTCAAGTAGAGTGAGAATTGAGTACCTGGCTTGGGGTATGCGGAAATATGTAGGGGCATTTTTGGCTTTTACAATAAGTATGATGCACTATGGGCATTTAATGGGTGGGAGCCCAGGGTGCTAAGGATTCTGCAATGAACTGGACAGATGCATAGAATTAACAATTTTATCAACCAAAAGGCCATAGATCAATGTCATAAAATAGTAACTAAATAATGTAAATTCAATATAAAAATAACTGGTTATTTTGTCTTCTTAGAAGAACAATTATACTGACTAACTCAAAAGAATAAAGTTTTAAAAAATTCTTTTAAATTTTGATAATTAAAATAGCACCTTGGGGTGACCCTTTAATTTTTGTGATGTCCTTGGGAATATAACTTTCTTATGGTACACTATACCTTTTTAAATGGCAGAGACAGAGTTGTTACTGCTTGTACGTGATGAAAATCTGTGGTTATTCAAGTAGGCTTTGGTTTGGAATAAGATGTCATGACTGGATGCCCTATTTCTGGCACTAACCAAGCCTTTCTGAGAATTACAATGCAATGAGCCAGTAAATGCCTTTTGAGTGGGACAATTGGTGATAGACTGGGATGTATTGGGTATTAGAGAAATTAATATGGTGGCTAGCAATTAGGTCCAAGGACTCACCTTTTCTTTTTTTTTTTTATTGATGTTTTAATTGTTTCTAACATTGTGAAATTTTGGGTTGTACATTTTTGTTTGTCCATCACCATATATATGACTCCCTT